GGCTAGTAAGGGGGCCGTAACCAACCCAACCACAAGTGAGTTAGTAATTTGTGTATGTCTTTCAATTGTCCAAATTATGGGTTCAGAGTTAATTATCATATTAACTTAATAAAGGTTCATCACCCAGCATTTGTCATATTAGTTTTATCGTAATTGTTGCACTAGACTACTTTTATCACCTAGCCTTAGTAAGAAATGCAGTATGAAACTGTTTCTGAAGTGAAGGATAGCATGACTTGACAATCATGTGAACTGGCTGGGTATTTGTCCTAAATGTCCATCCAAAACACCAGCTAGGAATGTTCTTCTGTGATGAAAATAAGTTAAAATTTCTGCAGAATTGTGTTCTCCTGATGCAATCTTTCTGAAGTTAGTAAAAAAACTCTGTTTATACAAAGGTGGGAGCTATGTTTCAGAACATCCTTGGAGGGTTGCAGTATCTGAAACTGGCTTTAGCTGGTTAAAAATCAAGATTAGACAAAAATACATACTCTTTGATTCTGGATAAGCAAAAGGTTGTATATACAATCGTGATGTTAAACTTACATTAGTAAGTTATGGTTGGTTGGGTGCTTGATTATTTTCTAATACACTTGGATCATTGAGCTCAGAAGTTTGTAGCTTCAGTAATAAGGCTTTTTTCTGGATTGTTCCTTGATCTATGCCTAATTATGAGATTGTCAGTCATGTTGTAACACTCTTATTTTCTTGAGATTTGATTATGAAAATATATTATCAAATCTTTTTTCTAATAATTATCAGATGCTGATATTTCTGTGATGCTCAATGTGTCTTTTCAGTGTACTGTCCATGCCACTGTTACTGGTTTCTGTGGTACCATGAACATTCCGGTTTATGCTGCATTGCCTAAAGGATCAGAAAATGTTCTTACGGATACTGTGCGTTTACAGGTATATTGTTGTGGAAGTTCTGCTTTTGCATGATGTTTTCTGTAAATTTCCCAATCAATCAGAAGATTTCCGTGTATACATTTTTCCTTCTCTTTTCTAATTTTATTCTCAAGACATCCCCTTTTTATATTATATTTGGCCTTTACCTTTTGATTTTATCCAAACATGCAGCTGGTTTCTACTCTAGGAGTCAACCCAGAGTTCAACTTGTTGGTCTTCAATCCTGAAGCTAAGGTAGGGACACATACCTATATGTTTAAAGTTGTTTTGCCTATTTTAATGGAATATATTGTCTTGTCTGAAGCATTTTTTATCATATGAAGGCGGTTATCACGTGCATTTTTCCAAAGAGGAATCTGTTTTCAAGAGTTTGAGAGTTGAAGGCATGAAAATCTCAGAACAATGGCCTGTGTTTCTGTTTCTGATCAAAATTGACTTGCTCTATAAATTCTTGGATAACAATTCTTTCATTTTCTTGAAACTTGAAAGATTCTGAAGTTTGCAAAGAACTAATGAAAATATTTATGCTTCCTATGAAATAAAGTAGAAGAGTTTGAGGGTGTCTTGGTCCCATTTTCAGAATCAGAGATTATTTATTTCAGACACTTTTTATTCCTTGAAGAAGGGACCGGGCTACAATTATGTTTGTTTTCCTTTAAAAAAATGATCAGTTTCTTCAATTGCTTTAAGACGATATCACCATTTTGCTCCTTTAGTTTGCGAATTATATTTTTTAATCTCAGGAACTGCACTTCACTAATAACAGCTTCAAGCATGGACTCTTATGCGGGTAGCTCATCTAAGACTCTTTTAGACCATAATAGTCTGATAATAATCCTGTTATTGTTGAGGCGTGGTTGGACTTTCTGTTGGTATCTTTTCAAATTTTGTATATGAATGTGGAGCACCAGCATTACAACAAAATGTAATTTGTTTGTTACTGAAGGTGAATTTGTCAATTACTGGAGGGAGCTGTTTCTTGGAATCTGTTGTGAATGATTCTCGAGTTGTAGAAATTATTCAGTCTCCACCTGGTTTACATTGCTTACAACTGGTACTGTCTCCTAAAGGACTGGGAACTGCTCTCGTGACTGTTTATGATATTGGGCTTGTTCCTCCACTTGCAGCTTCTGCTGAGGTAATACGTTCTTTCCCTTCTGTCTGTTTATATAATTTATTAATTGACGAGAATCTCTTGATTTGGATTATCATATTGCTTGTATTGGTATGAATTATTTAGTTCTGATATCAATGTTGATGACACCCTTTTGGCCAAAACTGTGGGAACCTTTTTCAGGAAGTAGGCAACTTTGAAGTAGTCTATGTTTCAGTCTAGAACTCGAGTGGTGGATACTAATACAATTGTAGTTCTTGTTCCGTGAGCTTGATAATGATCGATGTTTTCACTTTAACCTTAATGGAAATCAAACAATGTACCTGTAATAAATATTTATTCTTCTCATATGCTGAAGTTTCGAATTCGGTGATACACATTTTGCACAGGTTCAAGTGTCAAACGTGGACTGGATAAAGATTCTATCAGGAGATGAGATAACCATTATGGTATGCTTAGTGCACAAAAAGATATCCTTTTGATTGGGTGCACATTGGACATTCTTCATATGCTATTTCATGCTTCAGGAAGGACGTACAGAATCTATTGATATCGTGGCTGGGATTAAGGATGGGAGTACCTTTGTGTCTTCTCAAGTTGAGTTTCTATCATTTATGATTTTATGAAAGCTATGTGTTTCGGTTTATCTTTCTGGGCATGTTTGAACAAATGAAATACTACATGCATGGTGTTTTCCAGTTTGAATATGCACATGTTAACAACTGTCGACGTATGGTTTGACTATGGATGTTATTGGCCTTGTTTATAGTTTTATGAAGTTTTTGCCAATATGTCTGTATTAGTGAACATGGACATCTGCATGCCCATCTGCATTTGCCATCAGAAATATACCATCAGAAATATAATTAAATTCTGACCAAGAACTTCTTTGATGCAGTATCCATATATGAATGTTTGTGTGCATATTGAGGATGATATAATAGAACTTGTTGACCCTGATCATTCTTCAACTCCTGCTCGAGGATATCTCAGGGCACCCACTTTTAAAATTGTTGGTAAACATCTGGGAGTCACATCTCTTCATGTGAGTTCTTTTTTGTTAGACCATTATGTTATCTTTCTATTGGGCTGTTACTATTGTCTACTTTGGAAACTAGATCTGTGAATAGAGTTTACAGAGAGATTTTGCAATCAGGTCAGTGTTAAACAGCAATCAGGAAATGAAATATTGAGCCAACCAATAAAGGTAGAAATTTATGCCCCTCCAAGACTTCATCCCAACCATATTTTTCTGGTGCCTGGTGCATCTTATGCGGTATGTTTAAGAAATTTCTTGTTTTCTTTTATTTTTCTGTTAGACAGATGTCCAGGTTTCAAGTGGAAAGAAATCATGAGTTGAAAATTGTGATCTCTTCAGTTTCCTATTTGTGTGATCCCATCTTTTTCTTTTATTTATTTCCTTACATAATTGTCTCGTATTTAGCTTATTATGGAAGGAGGGCCTACAATTGGTGTATCTGTTGAGTATGCCATCACAGATGATGGAATTGCAACAGTCCACAAATCTTCAGGACAGCTTTCTGCAATTTCTCCTGGGAACACGGTGAGGTTCAATATTCAGCAGATATTTGATAACAACCTTTCTACTTGACCATTTTGCTTATTGAATCTACACGCTATGGTCCTGAAAAACTTTGTTTATTCAAGCATGGTGTAACCTTTGCTGTTGTATGAGAATATCACAATTGTGATTGATCAGTTAGATATGCTTTTCAATGTTTCAGTTTCCTTTCATGGTTTACTTCAAGGTAGTGGATTCATTTTCTCATTATTAGATGCCTCTTCTAGATGTTTTAAACTTGCATTTGTACCAAGAGCTGCTTGAGCCTTTATGTGTTTGTAACTCAGATGCTGTCTGTTCCTTTTTTTTCTGTATATCTATTTGTGTGCTTGAATATATTGTGTTTGAACATTGAGCACTGGTGGCAACACCATCTCATAATCAGAATGCTGACCGTTTAGTCTGTACCACTATTAGCCCTCAGAAAAAAATGTTCTAGTGATGTGAATGCAGGTGTTTCTGATTTGAACTCATCAGTCTCCCTGAATAACTGCATGCTATCCCCGTATGAAAGTGCTTTCATTGGTTCTCTTAAATTTCTTCCTGTTACTGGATGCATTCTTGTATTTTGTCATTTATTTGTTTGCCTATCTCCTAAAACTAGACAAGAAATTGATAGAAAATTGTTGATTCTTCCTGTCTTTGGCGGGGTTTTGCTTAATCTTATACATTTCCTTCCCTCACCAGACCATCCTTGCAACAATTTTTGGGAAAAGAGATGCTGTTATATGTCAAGCATATGGCAGTGTTCAAGTAGGAGTACCGACTTCAGCAAGTTTGATTGCACAAAGTGACATGCTTGCCATTGGCCGTGAGATGCCAGTATTTCCTTCATTTTATGAGGCAAGAATACTCAAAAGAATTTTAATCTCAGTCTATTTGGTCATCAATTGTCAGAATATTAACTTATGGATATTATCAGGATGATTTATTTTCTATTTCTGAGCTCTGCAAAAGTTACAAGTGGGCTATAGAAGATGAAAAGGTCGGATAAGTGTTTTCTATTATTTCTGCTGTTCGTAATTTCCTAACTTCTTAAGTGGCTTGTTGATGATAAGATAATTTTCTATTTGTTCTAATGAAAGGATAATTTCCTTCTTTTCCATGTCTAGGTGTTGAATTTCCTTGTATTAGAGGATTTACATGACAGGGAACTTGGTTTCATCAGTGTCTTGCATGGAAGGTTAGCTTAAGATATTAATTTACTATTTCTTTTTAGAATTTGAATCAAATGTGTATCTGCTCAAGATACTTACGAACTGCGAGAAAAATTTGCAAAATATAGATGTTAAAATTCTGTAATAAGATTGACTATATCAATCTAATTCCTCATGCAGTTTCTATGTAAAAAAAAATATCATTTGGCATCTTGTCATTTGATTACTTGAAAGTGAATGCAACTTTTAAAAAGCTCTAGGATTTCCCTGCAAAAAACTGCATAATGTTGGAACATAAGAGAAGTTTGTTTTAATATTTTGAGTTTTGATGAGTTTGTTCAGTGTTCTCATGAAAGATTTCCAGAAGGCATAATGCTGTAAGCAAATTTATATAAAAAGTGCACTGAATCTTTAAGTCACTGATAAATTTTTGAGCCCCTAATGCTTGTAGCTAATATTGCTGCAACACGACATAAGCTTTTTGACCCAACATGATGAACACATAGATTTCATAAGCAAATTTATATAAAAAGTGCACTGAATCTTTAAGTCACTGATACATTTTTGAGCCCCTAATGCTTGTAGCTAATATTGCTGCAACACGACAGCTTTTTGACCCAACATGATGAACACATAGATTTCATAATCTTACCTTTTTCTTGTATGTTTTATTAAAAATAAGTTGCATTTAGATCTGAAAAGATACCTTTTCTTCATGAGCAATTATCTCTCTCTTCCAGATCAGCAGGCAGGACAAATGTCACAGTCTCATTCTTGTGTGAATTTACTTCTTCTGGTTCATACTTTGAATCAAGATCTTACCATGCTTCAATGCCATTATTGGTGGTGCCTGATCTCCCTCTGGCTCTGGGAGTTCCAATTACCTGGGTTCTTCCTCCTTTCTATACTACATCTGGTGTTTTGCCTTCATCTTTAGAAACACATGTCGAAACGGATGGTCAGATTCGCAAAAGAGCCATTAGTTATTCTGTACTGAGAAACTGTGATGAAGTCATACGGGATCCTATTTCCATTGATGGAAACAGAATAAAAACAAAAGAGAGTAACAATATTGCATGCATTCAGGCAAAAGATCGGGCAAGTGGTAGAGTCGATATTGCTTCTTGTGTCAGGGTTTCTGAGGTATAGTACCATGTATTTCAACTGCTTTACGTAATGAGCAATAAAATTAACATGTCATCTATCAAGATGATTAAGTTTAGAGGCATATAGCTTCAAGATGATGTTTTAGTTAGATTTTGCTTGTTAACGGAGTTTCACAGACTTGGTTGTTGGTGTTGGGGACTGTTACATGGCAAGGAATTGGATTAGTTTGTCTTACTTGGTCTTATTGTAGGCATGAACATGCCAGGGTATCAAAATCCCCAGATTTCCTTTGTTCAAAAAGAGTAGTGACTGTATATCATGGTATATTTTCTCATAAATGAAATGGTTCTTATGAACATCATTAGTGGGTGCAAGTGCTTAAGCTGACTTCATGTAGTATGTATTGATAATGTTAACATGGAGTTTAAGCTCTTCTTTTTCTTTCATAAAACTGATTGTTTTGTGTCTGGTCACTCAGTTAGTTCTTGTGCCTTTGCTTCTGCTTTTATTGACACCAAAATTGCTCTTTATTTGATGATCAGGTGACCCAAATTAGGATAACAAGCCAGGAATTTCCATTCCGAACAATTGATATTGCTGTCGGTGCTGAACTTGAACTTCCAATAAGCTATTGTGATTCTTTAGGTATGTTGAACTTAGTGCAGTTACCCTTGCTTAAATTTTATGTTTCTAATTTGGGACCTTATTTTTATTTTTCTGGTTTTCTTTTGACTAGGAAATCCTTTTTATGAAGCACATGATGTTGTTCACTACAACGCTCAAACTAACCACCCTGATGTTGTATCTATTAGCACCAGTCATGATGGCAATGAAAATATCCGTCTCAAGGTATGTTGTAAAAAGTTGTTCCCATACTTTGTCATAGAAAATGCACTTATGAGGAGGATGGCATTTTCTCTTACATGTGTGTAACCATTTTGTTCTGGTATCTGCTCAATTGTTTCTCAGCTGAATCATACTTTTGTGATATCTGTTCTTTAAATTTCTGGTTGAAGGGAATGCAACATGGTAAAGCTCTTCTTCGAGTGTCAATAAACAATAATCTACGGAAGGCAGACTATATGATGGTATGTGTTTTCCCTGTTCAAGCTCATGGTATCCACCAGAAAACTAACTGATTGCAATCTGAACTTGCTGATGTATTTCTTCTTTTGCCAAAAGTAAGCTGAGTTCTTGGAAGAAAACAGGAAGGCTTGACTTCTTTTGTTCAGTTTTTGTTGCTGATGTTCCTAAGCTTCAACCTTGTCAATATTCAAAGTTCCTTTTCGCTATTCTCAAACATTGTCATTCTTTCTCCTCTGTTAAAATGTCATGTTTTATGCATATTATCTTTCTTTTACAGAATACTAAGAAGCCTCTGAATCCAAACCCATGCATGATATGCAAGACTACTACTATTTGGGCAATAAATGGAAAACTGTTTTGGTCAAGACTCTTGTGTGTGTCTATTCATGTGGTTATGATGTCAAACTCATCTGTCAGCTGGAAGAACTATTAAATCAGGGGGCACCAATTTAATAAAGTTTTCTGAGGCAATTGAGAGCAAAATCCACCCCCTGGAATCTTCATCTGAAATGTTAATTATTTTCTGATGGAACTTATTTGTCCTAATCAAATTATTAAAAGGAGGCTCTTTATGACTGGTCTTTCTTTTGTATGACCTCTATTAGTTTCTCACGTTCAGTGCTTCCAGATTAATATTCAATGAATTTTGCATTTCTCAGGTTTCAGTTGGTGCGCGTGTATATCCTCGAAGTCCAGTTGTTCATATTGGAAGTCGTCTTAACTTCAGCATAGAAGGTGAGTTTATGATGAAATAATTACTCTCTCTTCCACTTTGTCACATCTCATTAAATTTATTCAGTTCTCCAGGCAGAATAGTAGAGATGAAATGAGTTAGACATTAGCTATTCAGTATTACTACATAAATTAATCCATGTGGCCTTGCTAGGATTATGTGGTGCTTCTCTGTGTATAGCTAAGGGTTCAAGAACATTATCATTAGTTTGTGGATGGATCTTATACCAAAATGTCTCATTTTGAATAATTTCAATATAAACAAAACAGTAATCTTTTTTCATTTTAATCTTTCAGGATAGTAGGTTTCTGAATCATTATTTCATGTGGTATTTGATTCGAAGTTAAGAGTTTGAACCTTCACTGCCTTATTTTTTTTTTCAAATCATATTTTTAGCATATGGTAATGGACCTGCACTTTATCCATGTTTAGGCTTGTGCTTTGTCCACATATTTAACCCGCCTAGCTTTTGCCTGAAGTGGCATATTAAAGAGCTGATTCCTAAATTACACCAACAAACTGCCGTAATATTTGAATAAATATATCAAAATCTACATACTGACACCAGTATGTGCTTGCATGATGCAAGCATATCAACATTTTCAAAGGTGCAAATATGGCAAAAGCATATTGCCACCTTAAATGCTGAGACTTACGTGGAAAGTTGAGTAACTTCTTAACAACTTAAGTTTTTGAGATACTTGATCACTCAATTATTGTCTCATGGTTAGAAAATCTTTTTTAATTCTTCGTATTAACCTTGAGCCCTCCTTTTAAGAATCAAAGTACTTCTGAGAAAAACCCAAGAACTCAATAAGTTAAGTATAGGTTATGATAATTTAGTCTATCCTTGTGGTAGGTTTGGATGGTCAGGTTTCAGGCCATTGGCTTAGTGCCAACAAAAGTGTCATAACTGTAGAGACGGATTCTGGACAATCTGAAGCAGTGGGGGAAGGTTCAACACAAGGTACTAATGCCAAACACCATCACTCTTTTTATTTCCTTGTTCACATAAACTTAAAGTGAAGGATATCTTATCGTGGTGCCTTTTATCAGATTTCCATACTGTTAAGACTTGTTACTTTTGTACAGTTTTCTTTCAAAGTAATAGCATGAAACTGTGGACCAAGGTTAAAGTGTTATCAGGAAACATTGTTCGTGTAGATGCTCCAAAAGAGATGCTGACAAATGTCCCTCCGCCTGTCAAAGGATATAACTTCTTGGTGAAGTTCAGGTTTGCAAATAAGTCTTTTGTTTTCATCCATGAAATGTTTGCATATTTTTATTCATAATTGGGGGAACAAAACACTAGATTGGTTCAAGTTTAATTTATTTCTATTATATTTCTTAGGACTTCAATATTTTAATATGTAGAGCTTAGTTACATTTAACATTTGATGCATTGGATCATTATTGTTCATATCTTCAATACTATAATAATGTATTTGTATTCCCACATGTCAAGAATTGGTGACAGAGAATTAACTTAGAATTAAAATGTTATTTTCATATAAATCTTTATTTCATGTGTACTATATTTCTTTGCTATTCAATAAAATTGAAATTTGAACCAAAAACAATGTAATTGATATCATCTGAGCCATTTGGTTTTGACACTTGATTAATGCAATGGACAAAATTCTTTGTAAATCTAAGGATTCTTAAGAATATAGTATATAAAAATAGATTGTGCTCTTCCTGTCAAAATTACCAGTTACCCTACACTTCATGTGTGGAATTAGAATAAAAAATCCTGCATCCAAGCCATGGGAATCTTGTTCAGTTCCTATTAATTTACTCTTCCTTAACTTACTATTTGAGCCGTTTGAAGCCTGCCAGTTCTTTTTAACTTGTAATTTTACTACTTGCTCTTGCTTTTATTCATTTTTGGATTTAGATCTATTTCAAATTTTAATTGTAGGTGAATGACGTGTTAGGGATGTAATGTAACATATGTAGCTTCACTTGAAGGATATATTTAACTATTTTTCTAAATAGAAAACAGAGTATTATTGGATAGAGAGAGAAGTACAGCAACCGATGATTAGTTATCATCCCAAAAATAAAGACAAAAACCAAAAAAAGGAATGAAGAAATGGAAAGAAAGGACGAAGCTCAATAGAGAATAGTTGACCAATGAAGGATCTTGAGGACCTTATTGATATTTTAATTGGCATTTAAATATTTTTGCACATAAATTGGCACCCCCTTGATACTTGTGAATGAATCGTACCATACTTTTTACTTAAAAAAAAAAGATCCATCAATCCTTATTCAAATAGACAAAGAACAATTTTAAAATGCCCATGCTCCTTAACCCAAGGAGACACCAAAAATGTCGGGATTCCTCTCTAATCAAATCGCCCAGAATCCAGCAAAAAGTTCACCAAAACTAGTAAATAATTTAAAATACTAACATGCTATTTCTCCATTGATATTGTGTTGAAAGAATAGTATATGGAATTAATAGGAATACCTATGATAAGAATACGGAAATTAAGAATAGAACCTAACTATATTGGTCATTGATTATGTACAAACAGCTTCAAGGTTCACAACGATTTTGTGGAATAATTAATCTTTCCTTTCCCTAAGTAAGAAGCCCCAAGGTTCATGACAATTTTTGTGGAACAACTAGTCCTAACTCGCTTGAGAAAAGCTTCAAGGTTCAAGAGTCATCACAAAGGCTGTTTGGATTGGCTTTTTTTTCTGGGTGCTTTAAGCCTATCACTTTTAGTACAACTAGGTTTTAGGCTAATAATATCTTAAATATATAACATGATAGGACCAAACATGTGGAAGTGGATTGATATTTTATTAAAGAAAAGGTAGAAGGAGGTATTATCTACATTACTTATGTGCCTACCAAAGAGCGAATTGCAGACATCTCATCAAATGTCTTCCTCAACAAAGTTTTGACAGTTTTCTCCACAAGTTGGATATGATTGAAAATTTATAATCCAACTTGCAGGGAATTATGATTGACATCCAATGGCAGAAAACCTTTATAGGAATCCCGGATGCAATAGGATTGTGATTGACATTTAATAACTAAAAATTTACAGATTCCGATTCTGTTTTCAACTAGTGAGCTTAGACAAACAGGATCATACCTCTCTTAGAACCAGCTCTATTTGTAGGGATGGGGGATGAACTCCTTGCTTCTTTTCCTTGGCTTTATAGACTTTGCACCAAAAATAATTGTCCCACTGCATCCTTTTTGAATAATCAAGACAATCATGGATCTTGAAGCGTCTTCTTTCTAAAGAACTCCAACAATGGGAAGTTTCTAAGTTTGGTATCTTTCTTTGCTTTGTTAGGATCTCTTTATACCTAAGCCTTGATTGTGCATGGTCCCTTGATTCCTTGGGCGCTTATACTAAGTTTTATTTGGAGCATCTTGCCCAAAGCCGTATCAGCCCTTTCCTCTTTCTGGAAAGTTCAAGCTCTTTCAGAGTGAGATATTCGGACTGTGATTAATTAGTATTATTAATGCTATGACCTGCAGTAGGCTTGTAGACTGTTTTCTTGGCAAAGAACTTAATCAAAGAGAGAAATTACAGCAAAAAGAGAGGATGAGATATTCTCTGACCATAGAGAAGAAAACGAAGAAAGATAAAAAGAACTGAAAAGCCTTGAAGAGAAAATAGAGATCCAATACTTTGCAATGTTGATAAGCCTTTCCATAAAGGTGCCAAACAAGTATAGATTAGACTATCCATGATCATGGTGGTTGAAAAGGATGCTTGAAAATTCTTGCACTCAGATCCAACCAAATAACCAGCAAAATTGCAAAATAATGGCTCCTCTTTGCAAGACCCCCACTTCTTGGTCCTTACTGTCCCCACCAGGTAATAGGGATTAGGGGACACAGCCACTTCTCTTTGAACTGAGGAAATAATCTATTCCACAACTTCCACACCTCAGGTCATTGGAGAAACTGGTGATAATCTCTCTTTAAGCTATCAAAGTACACATTAGACAAATGCCATGATACAATGTGCGTTTCATGTGCTTCCTGAATTTGGGAAACAACAATTATTTATTTCTACTTTGTTGGATGGTCTTGAAGGGTTGACCAGATCATGCTTCTCCTTCCAAATATATTGTGCCCCTAGCTTTGGAGATTTTAATTTCTACTTATGTGATGTTGAGATGAATAAGTAGTATTTGGGATTGCAAACAGGGGTTGTTTTCGTAAGATTGCATCATCTCGCTTGAGAGATGCATAACTTTTTACAATCAGCACATTTTGGCCAATACTCTTCTGGAGAGGATGTGTGCTTTTGCCTCTCTTTCAGCAAAAACTCATGGTTTCCATGAGAGGGTTCCTTTATTATTATTGTTACTTTTTTGAAATAACTAAGAGGATTCCTTTATTGACCCTACAAAAGGATTGGGGTGCATGCTTCTTGTTATTCTGTATATATTCTATTTGGAGGACACTTTATTCTTCTTTACCTTATGTTTCTTATTTATTCTTCTAATGAATTCTTTTACTAAAAGAAAATGAAACCAGCTGTAGCTCCATACTGTAGTCGAATCCTCACACAAAACCAGAATGACTACAGCAGAAACAAACATAAAAGATCACCATAGCCTCGAGATCTCAAACCTCCTTAAATGAATGACCATAACAGACACACCACAAAATGAAAGAACATCAACATAGCCCAAGAAAAAGAAAGGCCTAAAGGAAACAGATTTTGACAGTATCGGATTTGTGTGCTGACTACCAGCTTAATGTGGGACATTGGCCTAGAAGGAGGCCATCGGCATGGAGGTCACTCCACTCCAGTGACCCTAAATCTTTTTTATAATAGATATATGGGAAAGATTCTTATCCTTTAACAGGCTCTTTTATAGTGCTCAAGTCAAATCCTATTTTTTCACCATAATGATCAGTGTCTATCTTTTGACATTGGCAAATAATCAAGTAACTTGGGGAAATTTCTGCGAAGAATCACAGAACGATTATATAGGTTACTTGCATTTGATGTTAAGTTAACAGCAGGGAAAAGTACGTCCAGAATTTGATAAGCATCATGACAAACAATACATAGTTACTTGAAAATTAAATTATGGGATTTGTTCACCTATCACGGGACAGCATTAGCGAATAACAAGAACAAGAAGAATAAGAAGTTAATGCTGTTTTGTGGTACTAAATTATAGGAACTGATTTTGGATAGTTTTGCATTGTGTGTTTAGTGGCCTATCTCCTGTTCATCATCTAGACTAGAATAATGGAGAAGCATTTCCATGATCCTTTATTGGCCTCAAAATATATGGCTAGTGTATTCATGCACTTTTAGGATCTTGTCTCAATTTCTTAAGATGTATGAACAGAAATCAAATTTTACAACCTATCCATATTTCATATTACGTCATTCCTTCTGCAAGAAAATCTTTACCTTCCACGTTTACAGTTATGGTATTTATAAATCTTTATCATTGTTATCTTATTCTTTTCTAACAAGTTACATAATTATGTTACACAATTTTTTGGGTTTTTTTTATTTAATTTTAATATACTAAACAGTGATGGGAAATCTGAAGCTCCCAGAAATGGCAAAGCAGTCACGTACAACTGCCAAGTGAACCCTTCATATGTTGGGTATGGCTCTACTCCTCTCTATCAGATATACACTTGTTAATAGTCATCAAGTTTTGATCTTTCCATGATTGAAGCTATGCAAAGCCATGGATGGATGACATGGGCAACACTTATTGCCCTCGTTCTTTCCTTACTCACCAGAAGCATC